TCCTTTCGCGTATCACCTCCCTCAGCTGTATTTGGCACTAGCTGTGCTTTATCAACACCTGACGAGACGATCACTATCAGGAGAAAATAGCATAAGAAATAAGGTCACTAGCTCAAGCCTGTTTAACCGCTTCAGAGAAAATCCTCACTTTCTCTGCATTCCTACTGGCAGGACCAGGGGATCAGCAAGACTAGTGGCCAAGGCAGCTCTATTCAGAGCTGGTCGCACATGTTTTCCTTTTTAAACTGGAGAAATTGGTGAAAGAATAAAAATAAAAATCTACAAAACAAGGTAAGATGCTCTTGTGCTGAATGTGACTCATTTAGTTTTCGGCAAAGTCAAGGTAACGGTGACAATCATACCACAAATTGACTCCTTTGCTATCTCCATTTGAAGTTAACTTGCTATGTCATACCCACTGCTTACAGTGCAGGTCTGGGGGGAAAAAAGTCAACATGAATGCTTTTTAAATACTTATATGTTAGAAATATTTCTTAATGCACACAAGCATCTTTTAAGTTTCATGCAGAAGCGCTCTCAGTATTTTTCAATAATTTGCATTTTAAAGGAAAAAAAAAAAAAAAAGCTCTGAGCTACAATCTGAAAATGCCTGAAGGCAAGAGCAGCACACTGCCCATTTTACTTGTCTACCAGTGTACCTCCAGCATACACAGAAAAGGATGAAAACACAGAGGGCACTCAAACTAAAAATTGTTCCGTTTTCCAGCGCTCTTAAGAAGGGCTTTAAGCAAGCCCAAGGGTAGCTACCCTATTTGTTTTACTGAAGGGAGAGTTGATGTCAGGACACATCAGCGCTATGAGACGCCCAGCTTTTGGCAGGAATTTTAGGCCCAGCTATTTAGAATTCACCTATAAGATATAGCCTCTTGTCTCTGCCAGAAAATACGCTCTCTTCTGCATTCCTATTGCAAATGCCTGAAGTAAGGCATTGCAGTAGACGACCAAAGACGAGGAAAACTAAAACTTCTACTAACAAAACAGGCAAATAAAAAACTAGGTCTGACCAAACCTACAACTGCCTCTTGAAACTCACAGTGCAAGTAGTAGATGTCCTTGCACAGGTATTTTCTGTGAGAGAAATCAGCCTTTTATCCCTGGAACACAGAAGTTACTGAATGCTCATAAAAACCCCTTATGAAACCACAGGAACCCACATGATAAAATAAGCCCACTCCTTTTGTTAATCAAGAGGACGGTGAAGCAGTTACGCAACGACAAAAGTTGGTATTTGTCCTTCCAGGAGACTGGTTATCACAACCAGCAACACCCAGCAGCAATGGTGCAGTTGCACCACTGCACTGAAACCCGATGCACAGCCACATCAAGCACCGCCAGTCCAACCTGGTGATCGTTAATCAGTTGGTGAAACGCTGATTGACTCTGGCCATTCTTGCCTGCAGTTTCCCCTTGTAATAATGGAAAAGTGATAAACAATGGAAAGGGATAAAAAGCAGTTAAGAAAGAGAAAAATGGAACACAAAGCAGGGGTAGAATAAACAGAATAGCAACTACGTGGTAGAAATTTTATCAGCAGGTTTGGTCTACATTCCCAATTTGCTCTTTTTATACACTTCAGCTACACCTTCATGCTTCCCATCACACCATACGTAACTTGTCATGGAAAAGAATTTTCAATTCCATTTTATATGACGGAGAATATAATCCCACAGTGTACCAGGAACTCAGCTCAACTACAGCTTTCCGATATTTTAAACAGGTGCATGTTTACAACTTTGCTGAACAGGGACCAGAGCTTCCAGCATTCAAATTCATCATCTCTTCTTCTAGTCACTTACAAAGCTATCACCATGGATAAACCTACAAGTCAACTTAGGCCCTCAAGAGGGAAAAAAAAAAAAAAGTGGTCTCTGAGAGGATAAATCACACTTTACTGCTACGATAAAACTACATTTCTCAACATGTCATTCTTTTTTCCAACTAAAAGCTATGCAACATGGGGGGGCATGACATTTCACCCCATCCACTCCTCTCCCTCCCTCATAATAAAGAAACCTCTGTTACCTCAAAAGGTAAAAAAAATCAGAACTAAAAATTAGATTCAAGAAGAAACATAGCAGTAATGGTTTGTGTTATTTCAAACTCCTTCAGATTGCTAGGGAGGAAGAGGATCCAGTGAGAGAGATTTCAAAGAACAAACTTAAATTCTTCATTTTACTATCAGCCTTTAACATTTCTCTTAGTAACTACCTTTTCAGATGTGAAATCTAACTGGTGCTACAGGTTCCAAAATACACCAAAATGCATTGTGGCTTTTAAAATGAAGAGCAAAGCCTCAAACCTCAACTGACTTCCACACAAATAGAGCTCACCTGAGTAAGATATCAGGATTTGCCATATATTTGCAAGCTAACTTTTTTCTTAATTCATTTTTTAAATTAATGAATCCCAGCAATCACACTGATCGATACTGTTTGCATTTCCAGTGTGCAGCCAGTGTAGACTAGCCATTTTGCTGGTGAAATACCAAGCAACGTAGGCTGCCTTATGCTTGTCACCTAGCAGCCTCACGGGAATGCAATATGAGATGGGCAGAGCAGTGAAGCGGCAAAAGAATAAGAGGTTTAAAAAGCCAGGAAGAGGAACAGCTCAAAGAAAAACAACAACTCATTTATTTCCAATTTCTATTAACGCTTCTTCCTGTAGTTGTGGAGTTAGGCAAAGAAAACGGTTGAAGGAGAGCCTGTGATCTTACGTGCTTAGTCAATTCGCCTGGAGGCGAAATTATTCTGATAGATGTAGCTTCAGGAGACAAAATTATTCTGACAGATGAAGCTTTAGAAGTTTTTAAAACAAACTTAAACAATTCTGATTTTCTATATAAAACTAGTTGTCGTTCTAGCCTACTAAGCACTCCATTGTTTTTGAATGTTCTGCTATAATTTTAAGCTGTGTAGGTTAGCTCAACCACTACAGTCTATACTGCTTTGGGGCCTCAGTTTTACAAAGGCTGGCAAGCAATAATGCAATGGTCCAATGGAGCAAGCTAATTGGGGAACACAAGTATTCATTCATCACACATTTTTGCCTTTGACCACAAAAACAAAACAACGACTCAGGTGCTGATAACTCTGAGTGCTCTGACACCACACAAGCATGCCTGACTCTCAGCAGTGGGTGAACCACTTGCAGCCCCGGCAAGTTTTTCTGCTACTGTCTAACCAAAACTCCCTTTAGCCCTGGCATCCCCTGCCAGTTTACCAGCTCCTTCCAAACACAGAGTCCCAATCAGACAGAATGAAGCAGAGTTTGCAATCCAGACAGACGTTTACAAGTTCTCAAATCAAATTTGACTCTACATCTCTGTAGAGAGGACATATAAGCTCTGTATAATTTATACCTCCCTCTATTTTCCTTTCAAAAAAATCACGTATTATAATCTCCATTTTGACAAGGCATAGAAGCTTTTATAGCTTGCTGTCCAATTATGGAAGGCATCCCACCCTCCCCCTACATATATACAATGGGCTTCTTTATGTTCCATAAATCAAGTGTACAATAACTCTCTCAGGAAAATTAATACACCATTAATCCATCAGTAAAGTTTCCTTTCCCATCTTGGTCTTGTAGTGTGAACACTGGTTAAATTCAGCATGAGAAACTTTATGGAAGTTAGGTAGCAAATAACAGAACTTCACAGCTCTTCTTAACAGGACATAAGGTCCGAAGGTGTTACTAACCTATGAGACATTGCTGTACACTATAAACATGCTAGCAAGCCAAAATAAAAATTAGCAGCCAGTTGCAAATGGAAGTGCCCTGTGTTGAAGCTTTTCAGCAGTGAAAGGGGTTAAAAACAATCTTCAAAGCATAGATTAAAATCCTTTCCTACCCTGTAGGGAGCAAAGCACAAGTGTATACATCCTGTGTTAGTGTTCTTGCATCCAAACCACTTACTAAAGCCACAATTTATTTTTGACTTGGAACTGAACTTCTGGTCAAATATCTATTAATTGCTCCTAGAAATGAAAAGAAATAAAACTGCTTTGAAGTTCAAACATCCTTGGAGAGCCTGCCTGCTCTTACAAAAGTCACCTTTTAGCAGAAGTGAGTCAACTTTAGACTTTCCATCAACAAACTAGTGCTCTGGCACCACTAGAGAAATTACAATCAAATGACTTTATCGAGTATGTTTAACCAGACAAACACTCTACTGTCTACCAGCCACGAAATGCACTGATAACAGTAGCTCACCATCTCACAGGCACAAATTTCCAAAATGCATTTTGAGTTATAGTAAAGAGGTCTGCTTGAATAAGAACTTTACAAAGTCTACTCCAAAAGCAAGCAAACAAACAAAAACAACACAAAAACTTTTTTTTTTATTTTTTAAAGTATCATATAAAATATACCCCAGGTTTGAATTTTTCAAGGCTTCCTTCAGACCTGCTCACCTTGCAACCCTAGATCTCTATGGATCCTTCCCTATGGAGCTGTTCCCAGCAAGTTTCCTTGGGGAAAATACATGGTATTTTTATTTGGCATCTAGGACCTCTTTTCAATCTGCTCTCATAAAACAAAACACACTTAAAATTTTCCAGTAGGACCATGAGGCAGTCAACCAAAAGAGCCATCCAGTCTGTTACAAGTGGAGTCTTAAATGGCTTTTGATATCACAGAAAGCGGGGAGATTCTTTCAGCACCTGCCCAAAAGATCTGTCACTAGTGACCGCTGGCTACAAGAAGCTTAACCAAAACTTACCTACATACCACACAGCCAGTACTTTTACATTTCCCATACTGGAAAATAAAGGGTTTTCCAGTTGACTACTCTACGATTCCGTAGAGTTATCCCCAGACACACTTTGCCAGGCTGTGCTAGCCTAGACTTCTGTGCCACCCGCCTCCTGCTGCCCCACAGGCGGGACCGGAGTTGCGACACCGGCACTAACAAAGGGCACGGAGCCACCCGGGCTGCTGCCGCGGCAGCAATCACAAGGGTTAAAGAGAAAACGAGTCACCTTTTCTGTGGGGGCTTCTGTAGGTCCAGTTCTCATCATCCTCATCTACCTGCTGCACGCACATGGAGGAGAGTTCACCATCGCTGCGAAACAATTTCTTTGTTTGCCTTGACAAGGAGGAGAAATTTATCCAGCTTACGGCGCGCGAGAGGGAGCCTGTGTTTTGTTTGAGTTTGAAAGACCTCGAAACACACTCCTTTTTCATTTTCTTTCAAGCCAGCTACTGCCCTCACTTCCAAAAAAAGACCTTTCTGAAATTGTTCGCGTCCCCTTCTCTGTGGCTTTCGTGAAAGGCTAAACAATTTCAACACGACTTCCGTCCAGGTTTCTTCGTGCTGCATTCAAACCAGCACACCAGTATGGAGGTAGGTCACCGTGCCAGCACAGCTCCCCTGAAGCTGTTTTGATACAGCAAAAGCTGCCAAAGAAAACAAAGGGGAGAAAAGCAACACAAAGTGGCACCTTGCAGCAGCTCAGACAAGCATGTAACGGCCAGGCAGAAAATAGTACTAAGGCACATGTTTTCCCTATTCCCCACTCAACAGCAAAAACCGTAGCTCTGCTCTCCTCCCTGGCATCGTGCTCTGGGAGGGTGCAGGGGACTCGGTCTCCTGTCCTAGCTCATCAAAACACAGCCAGCCCAGGAAAAGCAGGCAGAGATCACACAGGACAAGGTGCAGCTCGGGAGTCCTCACACGCTGCCCAGCTGCAGCCCCGACTCCCAGTTCTGCCTGCCCTGCTCTCTCCTAATGAAAAGCCTAGTTAAGGAGCTCCAGGAAGACTCTGCCAACAACAAAACAGACTGCGTGGCTATCGCTTAGGATTAGAGTGAAATACGATAGGCTCGCTCTCCAAAAAGCACGACCGCAGCAGCAAGACTCCTCCTTTCCTCAGCCAGGAGCTCGGTGGAAGTGCAAACTTCTGAACCCTGCATGCAGAAAAGGAAAAGCTCTCGTGTACCTCTGGGGATTTAGAGAGAAGAAAAAAAATTTGGAGAGTCCTAAACTCTACAAGCATCCTGAACAGACTGTGTTGAAAGGATTTGTGCCCATGCACCAAGAGTTAGCATAAAGACAGGGAAAAAAAAATCAATAAATGCATAGGCATATAAACAAAACCTGTCCATCTGTACAGGAGCCGATATTTTTGATGATGTGACTCCCACTAGCGTGACTGCAGCTCTCAAAACACATTCTGCTCCCAGCTGTGCTATGTTCTGCCACCTTCACTTTACATTAGCAACTGGTGAAAACACTCCCCGATGCCAAGGTTTCAGAAACTCAGGCACTACTGAAAAGCTCCTTGGATGCCAACTGCTCCCCCTGCGCGCTGACGCTAACCTGCCTCAAGCAGGGAGCCAGTCTGGAAGAGGGAGAGGGAAAAGCGGTGCTTTAAAGCAGGCAGAAGCTGGCAATACATAGAATCAAGGCATCCCAACATCTTTTTTTTTTTTCAGCTGAGATTTTTCACCAATATGTACGTAGATAAAAAAACACACAAGTTTGTTTCTTGCAGCAGATGAACACACTCAAATAAATTAGAGACCCAAGAAAAACAGCTCAGTGAATCCTGAACGAGAGGCTTGTAACAGGCAATTTAAAAACAAACACACACCCTCCAACACCTCCCCGCAAACAAATGCGCACACACAAACAACAAAAACTCCCCTTCCTATCTGAAAAATAAACATTACTGCCTTAACATCCTAACGGCTGCAAATGTTGTCAGCACAAGAACAAGCAACTTAAGAAAACAAAGGTACGGTGGTGTTTCAGCTGTCAAATTGTCAGTCAGATTTACACCATTGCAGAGTACACCCTGGCCGCCTCTCGGCGGATGCTCTTGCAGCCTCCCTATATTCTGCTGCACGGCCTCTTCAAAAACCACTAAAAACAAAGGCTTTGGCTTCTTCTGAAAGTTATGGTTCTCTGGCTCATAATAAGAGGATAAGGTCTAACCCACTGGCTGGGAGGCAAAGAGCTAAGTACTGTATCAGATTACCCTATGAATCAAGCAGGCACACCAAAGTGACCTTTGCCTCCTACACCCCAGTACAATGAGTTGGCCAACTGTCTTCTGTAAATAATTTAATAGGCTGCATTTAAATTGAGCTGGCCCAGCGAGGTAATGCATATGTACATACCCGGGTCTCTCGCCACTCCCCAAAGTAAGGAAGTGGGTGGAGGGGGGGAGCGGGAGCACACACTGCTAGCATTTGCTCTTCTACGTCATCACCTCCTCTTTCAATATCACCTTTTCTTCTTATAAGGTCTCACGGGGGGGGGGGGGGGGGGGGGGGTGGCTTTGGGCGTTTGTTTTGTTTTTACTTTTTAGTCCTTACACTTAGGAGAAAATTTTGTGAAAACGTAGCTTTCACAGCCCTAGAGATTCGACTACAAGAATATCCATTTCAGGACAGTCCATGTTCAGACAGGTAGAGTTTAATTAAAAATCAAAGACCATGTTTTTAAGTCAACTTACTGTTTCTTTTGAGAAAGAACAAGCATGTGGAATTGCCAGTACTGCAAAATATAGAGAACTGTAAGCTACCACAGCTCTTACTGTCTAAATTACACAGAGAAAAACGTATAAAATCCCTGCAGAATCACAGTCGTCATCACTACACTGCAATTCTCAGAAAGAGAAGATTAGAGAAAGCAACAAGTAGGAAAGCATTGCAGGTTAACCCAGAATGCCAGGGTAAATCCCAGAGAACTGCCTCGAGTCTTGGCAGCAATGTGATTTTAGGAATTTTCCTGGCGTGCCTGGAGCTCTGGCTTTATATCGTGGTGCTGAGTCAGAACTTGTTGATGTAAGGGAGAAAACTTCAAGTGATTGACCATAACATTTCTATTGTTACTGTAACTACAAAGCCGTGCAACACTTTTTCAGGCTTTGTTAACATGCCTCATTAGATCTTGTTGCAGAAAAAGAGGCTTCAGTCCATTGCAATACTGTCATTACTATGGAATGCTTTTTATTTGTAGGTGACAACCAGATTAATGATTAGTGCCCTTAAATGTAACATCTGTTATTACAGCACGGTAATTTTTTCCTGGGGGGCAAGGTGCAAATCTAAGGAGCGTGAGTGTATGTCGTCGCACATTTGGATGAAAGCAGATTTCTCAAGATCAAGAGAAAATAGTGACTACCACGTGTGAGGAAGAAAAAAAAAACCCACACATACAGGGGTATTAACACAAACGGAACTACAGGTTAATCTGCACTTTAATCAGGACTCAAACGTAAGGGCAAGGAGTAGAAAATTTTAGCATCTAAAACTTTAAAGGATTAAATTTAATTTTGTGAAACACTTTACAAAGCCATTTAAGAAAAACAAGGTACAGTTCTAATACGTTCAGATTAGTCTCCAGCCAGACAGTTTTCTCCCTTATGGAGCTGTTACACAGGTAAATAGGTTTCATGTTTTCTAGGTTACGCATGGGAAAATTAAGATATTATTCTTGGGTCACTTAACAGAGGGCCATCTCAGCAAAAACCATAAAGGAGTCACAGAGGAGAGAGTCAATTCTTACCATTCCACTGGAAAACTAGGGTATGAACTTGAAAGCTAAATAGGTTTCCTGTTTTTAAAAAGGTAAATAAGGGCAAACATGCATAGCATCACATGCCATCAGGACTTTTATCATCTATCACAATTGTTCTACAAAGAGCTCCCTAAAAGTTCCTAAGCAAACACACCTCTGTGGCTCAAAGCCACTGCCTTTCCCTAAGGCCAGCAAACAAAAAATCTTACAAGGAAAAAGTTTCAGCTTAGCTATAAAAACCAAACAAACAAACCAAACCCCTCAGACGTTCTGTTTTTGCTTGGGCTGTGGTTTCTGGCACAATTCACCTGTTAACTGAATTCCTGCATTTCCTAGCTATCCCTTTTGGATGGCCCCACTGAGGCAGCTCAAAGAGCACACCTCTCTCGAAGGCAAGGGAGCTTCCTGGGTACTTTTCTTCAGGTGTTAACAATGCGTCATAAAGCCACTAAGTACATGGCAAGATGATTTGAAATTATCTTGCCCCCAACCGCTTGCTCTGCTGCTGCAGTCAGCTGAGGGGAGTACAGCACGGTCCTTGCCAGCCCAGAAACCACCACCCACTGCCACCGTGGCTATGGGCAGTCACGTCCCCAGTGCAGCCGGTCATCTCCAGTCAAAGCTCTGTGGGGAATCCAGTAGCTATGAAAAGCTTCCCAACCTGGCCTTCTTCCGATGTCTTCATCTATATAGCACAAATGCACAGCTACCTGCTCTTGCAGGTACCATATAAAATGCTCATGCAACAAACCTACAAAATAATTCCTATTCCTACGTGGTTATTTACAGTGAAGGAGACACTGAGAACTTTTTGGTCTTACAACAGGGCCTGAAAGTCCCAGCTAAGACTGTGTCCCTTTTTGTACAGAGCACACAGTGAGAAACTCTTTTCCTTCCAAGCTGAATAGACTGTAGGGGAAAAAAGGAAAGAGAGTGAAGAAGGAAAAGATCACAAATTGAGTTACTTGCCCAAGATCACAGAAAGGATAAGCAGCAAATCTAAGAAAAGAAACTAGGTCTCCTGGCTACCAGCCTCATGACCTACTTAAGTAGGCCCTGTCTCACAAGGAAAGAAATGCCTATTAATTTGTTCTATCATAACCATTACATATAGTCTTTGAAGGACCTAATTACAAAGGAAAGTTTGCTTTCTACATCATTTATCTTAATTAAAAAAAAAAACTTAGAAATATACGATGAACTTCTAAAACTTCTAAAAGAAATAGCATTGTAGAACTAGTTTGAGCATCCCATCTGTATATCAAACTTCTTTAGATCTATGGAGAATCAGACTGCAGATGACCATAAACATCAAAACAGTTCTTGGGCAACTCTTTACAATGCATGTGTCACCAGTATTCTTCTCTTCAACTCCTGTGACCTCCTGGAAGAATTCACTATGCCAAGGCAGGAAGTATTTCCTGTGATTTAATAGCTGTACTTACCTGGGTAAGGAAGTTTCCTAAACATCAATAGGATAGGATCGATTTTTAGAAAGTTTTAGGAAAATCTGGGCCTGATTCTCCTCCTTATGCCAGCTGCATGTGAGTACAACCCCCTCAAGGCCAGTCAAATCACTCTTAACTTGAAAGGGGAATTGAGCAATGAAAAAAAAACCCAACAACAAACAGGTGCTTTCACAATTGATTATTAGCAAAAAGATATTTGTAAGAGAAGAACAAATGCCATAATCATCTAGAAATAAATGCTGCTTTTCTCTAGAATAGTTTGATGTCAAAAGAACAAGCGAGTTAATTGTGCATAAAACAACTACTTCACAGTGATACAAACACATTCACAATGTTTTGGTTTTGTTACTCTACAGTAAACTCCAGAGCTGACACAAAAAATAAACTATTTATGAGCAAATCTACTTTCAGACATACAAGAAATTCAGCAATCAACAACTACAAGCGGTTGTAAGTAGTGAGCTTTCCTTGGTAAGAATGAGATACCTATTCTAAAGGATACAGAAGGAAAGTGCTCTAATAACATTAGTTCT